CTACGAGCCCAATCATTGTCAAGGAAACCAAATAATTTAAAGTTTTGTACCTTGTAGTATTTAACTCCATAATTGACAATTCCTTTGATGTATCTTACAAATCTCTTTGTTGTCTTCAAGTGCAGATCAATAGCACAATTCATAAATCTTAACAACAAGATAATTGGGAATAAGATGTCAGGCCTTGTGGATATAAGATACATTAGACACCCAATCAAACTTCTAAAAAAAGCTTCATCAACTTTATCAATTCCATCCTCCTTGATATTCTTCTCTTTTTTATTCATTGGAGTGTTCATTGGTTTGCATTCATCAAGGTGAAATTTCTTTAGAATCTCCTTTGCATATTTTTTCTAGCAAATGAAAATCTCATTCTTCTTTTGAGTGATCTCCATGCCTAGAAAATAAGTCATAAGACTAAGATCTGTCATCTCAAAGACCTTTTTCATTTCTTGCCTGAATTCCTCAATTAGTGCTAGGTTGCTTCCTGTCATCAAGAGATCATCAACATATAATGAAATAATTAAGGGTTAAATATGTTTTTAGTCCCTCAACTATCATGCGATTTTAGATTTTGTCTCTCTTTCAAACTTTAGTACACTTTGATCCTTCACCTTAAGAAACTATAATTTGTAGTCCACGAAAATCAACTAGTTAAATTTAATCTGATGTGGCTAACATTGTACCACATATGATGTCAACTAACTTGACTACGTTTGTGCCACGTTTGATAACAACGTTGTACACTTAAAAACTCTCATTCTTTCCACAACCACCACCACATAACGTCATTAAGCCACCACCTTCCACCATCATCGTTTTCATCTTGGCCATTGCATCGAGCTGCCATGGCGAAGAAAACTTGTAAACCTAAACCACCATCGAGAAGCCAAATCAATGTCAAGAAACATTCATCGTGCATCAGTTCATCTTCCTACACCACCATAGAGACCCAAATAAGAACCAAGAAACAACCATAAACCCCAATTTTCAAAAACCTCAACATCATGCATCTTCCTTCTCATAGCAATCATCAATTTCAATTTAAATTTTACAATTGAAACTAAAAAAAGGAGAATTAATGTTTATGAATAAAGATTGGATGAAAAGGCGTTTGGAACATCTCCTACAGTGAAATTTGTTGTTGATGGTGTAGATGAAGGGTCTTTGAATAGCTATGGACCTCTATCTTTTCACATTGCAGTTGAGAGGTTGAGTCGCCGTGAAGGGAGGACCCTGGCAATGACCGACGATGACCCTGACGACGTGCGGTGTCGCCAGCCACGCCTTGGGTTTGGCGGAGGTGTGCCACCATGTTTGGTTCGGTGGAGGCTGAGGTGGATGACAACTCGACAATTAGAGAACCGTAGTCATGTGGATAAAGAGTTAAATGGTCATGGATCCGTGAAAAGCTCAAGCTGCAACATTACTAGTGGAGAAATCAACAAGTCATTTGCTCGTTTCTAGCTTAATTCTGAAAAAAATTCCCCAACAGCCAGCCAAAATCCTAGCTCACTAAGCTTTGAGTCTAACTTTTGGCATTTGTTAAGAAATCAAAGAAGGCAAGTCTAACGGGCAACTGGATTACAGACGAGGACTCTAAAAGCTTGGTGAGTGTCCAGTCAGATCGGTTTCCGAGGCACTCGATCGCAGGTTCATCAGTGAGAGACGACTAGAGCCTTGCCAACTCTCTAGCATTTCCAAGCTACATGGTGCCAACTCAATCTGCAAAAGCCAAATTTAGGACACAAAGTCTATTAGCTCCCGAAAATGGAAAAACTGAGAAAGGGGAGGGAAAATAAAAGAAATAAGGATTGTTTAAGAATAAAAATTTGACAGAAAATGTAAAACCTATGTAGCCCATTTTCCAATAAATGGTTAAAAATCACAATATTAGATTCTATATTCAAATCTAGAAAATCCTGGTTGGAGCATTTCTTTATTCCATTGCTTAGCCTTATCTTTCCTTCCATGATTTGAGAAACCACGTACCATGATATGATATGTCCAAACATAGGTTCATAACCCTTTTGACATATCTGACCAAATAATAAACGAGCTTTGTCCATATCACTCTTGGATAATTCTTTCAACAACAAATTGTAGGTGAAAATATCAAGCGAGCACTTCTCTATTAATCGTTCAAAGTTCGAAATATAATGGGTCACTTTGAGACAACCGGAAAATGCATCAATCACCAAGTTAAGTGTTGAATTAGCAGAAAATTCCCCCTTCCACTCCTCTTAAATAAACACATGTATGGTAGAGTTTTGTTGAAATCAAAGAATGTTGAAGCAGTTGATTGCCCATAAAATAACTAATTGGGTGTCCAATTTTCTCGTATGTGTATAAGCTCACAGCATTCAAGACTTGGATTCAATCCAACTCTGAACATGCTAAAAAAGAACCCAAGTGAGCATCTCCAGTAAATTGAAAAAGCCCCCTCTTGAATTATCCATTTTAAGTAAGCAGTAAAGAGATATGCTCTGTTGCTGACCCCTGAGATAGGAATCTTGCGATCTCAAAATTTGCAATTTCGGAATTTGACAAATAAAGTTATTTAAGCTTGTTTTAGAATCACAAGACAAACTCAAATATCGCAAATTAAGAAAAGTTCAGGGATTCAACTTTCTTGAAAGCATGCATCAATTCAAAGACTCCTATTTTTCAATGGAAACTCATATTAGGGTCGGTTTCATCTACATAATTCAAAGATGAAATAGGGATTCAGTTCGAACCGAACGATGAGGTGAAGTTGTGGAAGATATTGGAGTGCGAGAGGGTAGTGGAGAGATTAAAAGTGAGATGAACCCCGAGCAACAAGTTGGCGCACTGAGGAACGACCCAATGACTCGTTGTAGACGGAGAGGACGAGGATGAATGAGAGGCCTTTTGGATAGACGATGACAGAGGGCGGCGAGGTCGAGGTGGAATGTTGGTGCAGAGGTGGTGATTTCGAGAGTGGAGGCCGAGGCAAAGAGAGGGAGGAGGGCCATATGCGACGCACAAAGGGAGAATGATCCATGGTAACGATGAAGACAAAAAGTCCAAAGCATTTTCACTCAAATTTCATATTTTCAATTTCTAACGTGGCATGAAATGTAGCATACCGTTAGCCAGCTCACTGAAAATTTAACGGCGTTGGTTTTGCAGGACGAAATATTGCAGTTTTCTTAAGGACAAGGATGAAATTGTATCAAAGTTTGAAAGAGGGACTAAATCTAAAATCGCATGATAGTTAAGGGACTAAAAACATATTTAACCCAATAATTAAAGTATCAACACCATCATGTTTGACATAAAGTGTAGTTTCGGATACACTCTTTTGAAAGCCCAAGTGCAGTAAATGATCATTAATTCTATTGTACCACACTCTTGGGGCTTGCTTTAAACCATATAAAGCCTTTTTCAACAAGTAGACTTTATTTTCGTGATCTTTGATAACAAAACCATCTAGTTGTTCAACATAAATCTCCTCCTGCAAAAAACCATTAAGGAAAGGTGACTTAACATCCATATGAAACACTTGCCACCCCTTTTGTGCTATAATGGCAAGTAGTTGCCTAATTATATCATGTCTTGTTGCTTGACTCTTTCCTCCTTTGCAACTCAAATTCCCTTCTTAGGTTCAACACTTGCATGCTTCTTATTTTTGTCATCTCCTTCATATTCTTGCTTCAAAAATTCCAATTTTGTTTTTGGTGATTTAAGAGTCATAATTCTGGTGAAGATGTAACACTAGAAAACAAGGACAACTTTTCCTTTACCTTCTTTTTTTTTTTTTTGCCTTGTGATTTTTGATTTGAGCCATAGTAGGATTCTTCGGCAGTGGTTGAAAAGAGTAATCCTCTTCCACAACTTCCTATAAATCTAGTTCCTCTAGATAGGATTACATTTTTACAGCCTATGTGACACCCGGGCACGGAGACGAGGGCGGGGAGTGACGCCGGTGCAAGAAGCATGGTGTAGGGGGCACAGAAAAGGAGCGGCTCCTGGCAGCTTCGGGTGGAAGGGGTACATGGATGAATCGAACATACACCGGAATGAGAGGGATCTGGAGACTGTATAGGTATGGGACTATACAGTTGAAAGATAGCTTAAAGGAATTGATTTGACTACTCATATCATCAAAATGCATTTACTTTTCGGTAGCCTGACTCATAAGAACTCCATGGTTAAGCGTGCTTAGCCTGGAGTAATTCTGGGATGGATGACCTTACAGATGGTATCGCTCTAGACACCAATTTCATGATACCAATTGTTTGTTTTTAGAGAATAAAAACAAATAAATATTGGCTGGCTGGAAGTGTATTTTCTTATTAAATGCAACTTAATTTAAATACATTTAGAAATAACTAACTAAAAATCACATCTTGTGATTCTAACAATCACTACTAACAACCTGATTGAAAAATAGGAAACAACTAAATCAGTAACAACCATTGAATAATTAAGTATAAACTATTTTAAAAATTCTCACAAGTATAGACAGTTTTGAAAAATTGTAACAAACTCTTTTGAAAACTTCCGTAACTAGTAATTGTTAAACAATTATCGTTGGTAATTATTTACCGATGTTTTTTTTATGGCTTTTGTAACAGTGAAAAATATATTTATCAAAGATTAAAAACGCCAGTAACATAAAAAATAATTCCGGGTAAAATTTAACATTTTTATAGTTAATAAATTTAGTGAATGTAAAAAGAATCTTCACTATATAATTTTAAAATTAGTGAAAGAAAATAGAGAAACACTTTGTATCCATTATAAGTTATGCTATTTTCTCGGTTCAATATTCAATTTTTTTAAAAATTTAAGAGATTTCCTTTAGGAAACTATTAGATGCGGTGAATTGAGAATAAAATATAATGTAATTGGTTAATATGTTTTGCCATCCATATTTTTATTTGAAAAGGTTTTTCTAATATTTCTTCTCTAAATAATTCATGTATTCAATATTTTTTTGGAAGATTGTGCTTATAATTGGTTATTCATGTCAGATATTCTACAAAAAATATTAAACAAAAAGAGAGATTGGATTCATGTTAAGGATCACAAACTTAGAAATGCTCTTCACCATGCGGCTTCTATAGGTTACCAAGATGGTGTTCAGTTGTTACTTAAAAGTTGTGATACATGTCATATGGAAACAGACAAAGATGGGTTTTATCCTCTTCATTTGGCTTCCGCATGTGGGCATACTGAAGTGGTAAAGCAATTGCTAGAAATTTGTCAAAATCCCAAAGAAATAGTTGATCAGAAAGGCCGAAATATTGCTCACATTGCGGCTATAATGGGTCAATTCAATGTGATAAGGTACATATTGCAAAGTGAAAAAGATGAAGTTAAAGACATGATAAATGACAAGGATTATGATGGAAACACTCCCTTGCATTGGGCTGCCTCATATTGTCATCCAAAAGTTGTGCAAGCCTTGACATGGGACACAAGGGTTGATCTCCATTGGTTTAACAACGACAACCAAACAGCTCTCGATGCTTTTGAGAAATTTAAACAAGAAGATAATCCACCCTTCCCACAGGCAAGTATATATAGAGTATTGCGTTTACTTAAAATTTCAAGATTTAAATATGCCTTTTTAGTTTATAGTGACTGCTATGGTAGTATATGTTCGACAGGGTTCTTAATCGATCAAAATTCATCTCGAATGATTATGTTCAGGGAACTATTTTTGTTTTATTTTTCATTAGCTCTCACATAATATAGCAAGGTGGTATATTTCGTCCACATTAATCGTCTAGATTGTCAGAAGAAAAAATGATAATCATCATCATAGCTTTCCTACAACATTATTGGACTATTTATTTTTTTATTATTGGAATCTTAAATTTGTAACACAACTTTTATTTGTAGCGGCTAACATGGTGTCTACTAAAATCTGCTGGCGTCCAACTGTAGTACTGTATGTAATATCTTTCCTTTGGAAACATAAAGGAAATCATTCCCATAAAAATGAATCATAAGAGAAGGTTTCATCACCCAACCAATTTCTGGCATCTTATCATGACAATTTGTAGTAAACTTTAAATTTTTTCTAATTCGCACCATAGGCACCTTTCCTTCCATTTGAATGCGAATTAGGATTCTCATTCATCTGTGAAATTCATAATCATTAAACTCGATATCAATATCTGTTAAAATGATAGAATATAGGACGACACACTGAAAAATCTTTCAATGTAAAAATGTCTCAGAGTATCATCCAAGACTTAAAATTTATAAATATTTTGATACAATTATTGTTTACTTTTATTCTATATACCAATATATGTATATGAAAAATTCTTTTAGAAGTACTAGATGACGTACTTGGTTATTAAACTTTCATAAAAGATTTTATATCTCATAAAGCCAAATGATTTTGTACACAAAAGTGATGAGTACGTAATATCATACAACTGTAAGATAAGATGTACATGAAAACAAAGTTCAATCTCCATCTCAAAAAAGATAAAGAAGAAAACAAAGCCATAAAGATGTAGCATTTTGAATAATGTATCGGAAAGTACCTACCTTCAGTTGAACTTTTCTCAAATAACCATGTGAGATCTTGAAAGGGACATAAGAAATCCATCGCATTATTGGGTGTGACTTGATGCTGAGGCAACCAGAGAAGAATGTAAGAAATAAAAGTAGAAGAATGAAGATCACACACAAAATCATGATAGTCTGGCCACCAACTGAGATCGCTTATAACAGGTGGACCACCCAGCCAAGCATGCCCATGATAAGGTTTGCAAGAGTGACTCCTAAAAGGGGTGTTGCCACTTAAGGGCAAAAGAGCCAAAGTTACATCTCCTATTGAGCCAAATGAGCTTGTAATAGTGACACTCATACCACCGTACAGGGATGTTTGTGATGCGAAAAATAATGGTTTTAAAACCACATGTGGATGTGCATAACAGCCATCCTTCTTTTGGAGTCGAACTGTTAATTCCCACCTCCACGGCAAAGTAAAACCGACGAAATGCTTACTGTCGGTTATAAGGGTCGAAACCAAAACCATAAGAGTGTTGATTATGTCTTATAAACTTTTGTTGTTTTGGGTTCTGGCTTGCAGGGGGAAGGGATCCTCGACCATACGTGTAACCTCTTTTAGCTCTTTGC